TTTGCTTTTGAAGATGAAGGAAGTCGGAAAAATGCAAATTATCCAATACCTTGCATGCTTTCAGCTTCTGTGACTTGTCACACATTTGACAAGCACTTGCTTCAGGTAACACCAGTATTTGCTACAGTAATTGTAGTGTGCCAAGCTACCATTAAACAACTTTTAGATCTCTTTCTGCTAATTAACATCATTTCACCCATGGTTAATTTAATTACAGAGCTTGTCTGACTAACAATTTCTGACCATTTCATAGGATGATGTGAAAATAATTAGTCTTGCAGCATCAATGGGGGTGGGCATGTATTCCCCCAAAACCATGAATACTGTAAAAGAAATTTCTCCCAGCAAGCACTGTTCTGTCTTCAGTAACAGGTTTATCACACGGCACTTTCAAGAACGGGAACTGAACAAAACAGAACGGCATGGAACAAGGAGAGGAGAGAACGCAAGTTACCACACAGGAGAACGCTGCCAATGCCACCAAGAGTCCCCAAGCCATTCCCCAGCCGTTCCTGGCAGTCGATTTTGAAGAACGGTTCAAAATCATTCTTCAAAATCGGCTGCCAGGAACGGCTGGGGAATAGCTTGGGGACTCCCGGCGGCATCGGCGGCATTTGCCTGTGTGATAACTTGCGTTCTCACCTCATTCTGTGCCGTTCCGTTCTGTTCTGTTCCTGTTCCTGAAAGTGCCATGCGATAAACTTATATGTTTCTGTCTTCAGTCACACTCTTCCCTTTTCTTATATGCCATACAAGGTGTCAAGAAAAGAAGGTTGCAGCAACTGTGAATCATTTGTGCAGAATTTTCTATTATCCCAGCATCAACCAAATACCCTGTTCTAAAAAAATGTGGATTTCTTTGTGGAGAGAAATAGAACTAGAAAAAAATGTATTTGTGGAATGTATGCTTTTTAAAAGTATGATAATCACAGACGTGAATATGCTTCAATACTTTTCACACTTTTTCCACGGTTTGCTTTAATTTTATTTTTGGGTTTCACATGAGTTGGTTCTCAGTGGCTCTGTAGCATAGATGAGTGACAGTGGCTGGTATCCTGGTGGTGTCTCATAAGCTGTTTCATGCGAGAAGGTGGACATTTTTGGCTGGTCCATAACAGTCATATTCAGCTGAACCAGAGTAATGAATGTGGGGTTGTAGTTGCTCATCCCATTATCTTGTAAGGCAATACAGGTTAGTATAAGTGATACCTACCTGCTCACCTCCCCTTGGCAAGCACAAAAAGAGGGGCAGAGTACCTCATTCAAACCCACAGCTGCAAAGTCAGCAAAAAATAAAATAAAAAATAAATAGAAGATACTCCCCCTGCAAAAAAAATTAAATTAAAAAAATTACAGAGATGGGGACAGTTGGCTGGGAAAACACAAAGTAGAAGAACAGCACACTCTAGTGGGAGAAGAAACTATCAGTACATTGCCATTACATTGGATTTGTTGGGTTTTTTTTAATGGTGCATTTGTTTTCAGATTGCCTACTAGGGATGTACAACTTAAATTATTTCATCTTCATATTTCAGGAAAAATGATTACTGCAGTTTTCTCTCTGGTGTAGCAGAAAATAAGTATTTTGTGTGGCATTTTCCTCATATTCGAGAATTCCCAAAATGTTCCAGAAGATTTTTCTACACAAAAAAACAACACATGGGTGGGATTTTGCATTTTAAAAATCCTGGGCAAACCAGCATACTTCCTCTGCAGAAAGCTGCATAGAAAATGTGTTTTTGTGCAAAAAGAAAAACAAAATCACATTTCTATGTGTAGAAAAATCCTCAAGAACACAATTGGATGTTTGAATGCTAGGAGAAAAACTGCATTAAGGTCTTGCTGCTCTATTATTTTTCCCAATGGGATTTCCTGACTATGAGGAAACCCATTTTTCAACTGGAAATGAATAACAGAGAATATTCTTTCCATCCTTACTGCCCACCATGGTAGCCAATGCTAGACCTTCCATATCTGGAACTATCCAGACACATGTTCAGGTACATGTGAGGGATTAGTCAGGAAAGGCTTGCATTTTTCTACACATTTACATGGGATCCACATGTGGTATGTTTCAGACTGCAAATATCTCACCAAGCACCTATAATTTTGGTCATATGGTATCACTGCCTCAGCCTATCCTGACTTGGTTCAGCATGAAATGACAAATTATTGTTTTTAACATTATGTGAATGAAACGTGTGCTTTCCTTCTCCTTCTCCTCCCCTTCTAGAGCTTATTTGTGGAGAAGAGATTAGAACCATTCACTTCCATTTTTAGTTAAACTGTAATTTGTTCCAAATCCAGAACTATACTTAATGTTAACAAGATCACGGCTTTATATTGGCTTCATTCTCTACATCATAATTAAGATTAACCACAGTTTTTCCAGGCTTGGATGTAATAACAAAAAGCTCCCCATCCCCTTGTTGTGGTCAGGCCATTAGAGAGAATAGAGTGGAGAGATTGTGAGGCTGGATTTAATTCAGGTACCTCTGTACTACAAGAGTACAGTTTAGACATAGCTTCTATCCTGAGAAGGTATGGCAAACCTTGAGCTCTCCTGACATTATTACAGTAGTTATGCACCTTTGTCTAGTCCAGGGGTAGCCAACCTTTTTGAGACGAGGACCAGGTTGCTGTGCCTCAGACAATTGGGGGGGGGGGAGCACCAAAAATAAATAAATAAATAATAAATAATAAAAATAAAAAATGCATGCACACTCTCTCAGCCCCAGAAAAGCTATGGCAAAACCCCTGTGAAGATTTTGCCAAGAAAACCCCAAGAACAAGTAATAACAACAATAATCAATATCATTATGGCAGGCGGCGGGGGCGGTGGCGGCAGGACCGGCCTGGTTGCCTACCCCTGGTCTAGTCTTTTGATGTGTCTTTTTAAATTAATAGGAAAGAAAATCTCTTATTTTTCAGGCACAGTTGAAAAACAAAACATATTGTAATAATCAGGGCCAGCCCTACCATTAGGAAGAGTTAGGTAGCTGCCTAAAACAGCAGCTGCTCTTCATCTTGTCATGTTGTCATTACATGTTTGTCATGCTGCCATGAAGCAGCAAGAAATGATTTTCTTATTGTTGTACAGCTGGCCCTTCGTATCTGCAGGGGTTCAATTCCGGATCCCACACAGATGCCAAAAACTGCGGGACCTCAAATGCCATTTTTTTCAATGGCACCATGCCACCTGCATGGCCATATTGGCACAGCTATGTGCACATGCCACCTTTGGGGAGAATGGGGCAGTGCCATCTGCAGATGCTCCAATCTGTGGATAGCAAGTCTGTGGACAGAAAGGACTGACTGTATTTTTACTTCCAGGGATGGAGAAAAGTGCTGCAGGGGAGAGGGCAGTCTGATTCAAGAGTCTTTTCTGCCTGGATGTTGCATATTTCTGCATCTTGACATAGAGTGTTCTGCAAACATTTTCAGAATTTTTTCACAAGCCAGCTATGATGCTCAACAAATGCTTCTCTTTCCTCCAATTTGAGCTGCTCTATTTGGTTTACCCATCTTTGGAAAGTGCTTCTGTCTTTTAACAGTAAAAACCTAATCCTATCTACTCTGAAGTCAGTCCTATTGGATTCATTTGGGGTTTACATCTAGGTAAGCAAATACAGATTGCAAACTAAGGGCCTTTACAGACTGCCAGAAATAGTGCAGCTTGAGGCCACTTTGACTGTCCTGGTTCAGTGCTAGGGAATCATGGGAATTGTATTTTTTTTTCCTGGGACATTGAGCCTTCTCTGTCAGAGAGCTCTGGTGCCACAATAAACTACAGTTCCTATGTGTATAAGGTGTATATGAAACATAAATAATTTTTGTGTTTAAACTTGGGTCCTATGTACATCTAATTTATGTACATATATGCAAATACAAGTATTCCTTTTTTTAAAAAATAAATAAAATCAAAATCAAAAACACTTCTGGTCCCAAGTATTTTGGATAAGGGAGACTCAACCTATATGAGCAATCAGCTTCCCGGAATAATTGTTAGACACAAATAAGATGTTGGATATAAAACAATTCCCAATCTCCTGTAAAATAGTTCTTACTATTAGAAAACACTGAACACAATCCATTGAGGGAAAATTTCAAAGATATAGCCATGTTAGTCTGTAGAATCAATACGTAGAGAGATCTTGTAGCACCTTTGCACTCTGCAAAAGCTCTTGCTGCCAATTTATTTCTTTCACGTAGGGGCTGTACCAACCGGCCCAAAGGGGCGGTGGCAAGCTGCCCCTTTACTCACCGGATTGGGGCCACAGCAACCGCACGCCGCGGCCCTGATCTAGTGCTTTGCCGCTCTAAAAAGACCTGGCAAATGCTGCTCCTTTTTAGAGCAGCAAAAAACTGCTCCTGCTGTGGCAGCGGCAGCTTTTCGGTGCTCCTTTGGTTCAGCGTGTGTGGATGCTGCGCCAAGGGAGTGCCCTGACACCTCCTGCCATATGGTGGGGCACACAGCGTGGAGACGATGGGGGGGCAGAGTCGGGGTGGCTGGCATGCGGTCACCATGCCCCCACTCTGCCCCCAGGCTGGCTCTTTATGCCAGTCTGTTCAGCTGTCTCAAAAGTGCTACAAGATCTCTCTACGAATTGAGGGGAGGGTACAGGATATCTCTCTGTCTAGTTCTCTTAAATGAAAAGGTTTGTTATGATTAAATTATTAAAAGCTGCTCCTGCTGCTGCTGCTGCTTATAAATAGGGGTCTCCAGATGGTAAGTTCTGCCACTCCATTTTTATTTCTAAAGAGATTATCGCATAAGGATATAAACTGGCTTACCTGAGC